AGATAAAATGTATCAATTTCAACTTCAACAGAAATCTTAGTATATATATTGAGCCCCATAAAATAATGAATATTCTACGTTTAGTGAGGCTACTTTTGAAATTTTTTCTAGTAATCACCTATATTTCTACACAAATTTGATCACTTGGTTTCCTAAAAAGTACATTCAATTTTCTAACAAATAATGAAGGAAAACAAACCTTAAATATTTAGAAAATGCACACTAAGAGCCTACCTGTAGATTTTGGTAAGTTTTTAAGAAAATCTTTTCTGTCTTCTTCATGCAAGATATTGTACACACTTGTATTAACCAAGTCCTCCTGCTTATACTGCAGGTACTGTGTGACATTTTCTGACACAAATACAATGTTTCCGTCTCTATTCACCACAAACAGGAAACCATCCAATGCCTATAATGGGATATTAAAATGGCATATGTTATTACAGGTTATTACAGATAGAACTACATCTCCCACAAAATTCCTATTGAGGCTCTTACCCTCAGTGTGACAATATTTGTAGATACAGCCATGAAGGAGGTAATTAAGTAGAAAAGAAGTCATAATAAGGGCAGATCCTAACCTAGTATGACTGGTGTCCTTATGAGGAGAGATAAAAAAAGGACACCAGGGATGCATGTAGAGAGAAAATGCCAGGAAGACCGTGACAAACCAAGGAGAGATGACTCAAGAGAAACCAATCCTACCTACGCCTTGATCTTTATTTAACTTCAGCTTTCAAAACTACAATAAAATTTCTCTTGTTTAAAAGCCACCCAGACTGTGATATTCTGTTATGGCAGCCTTAGCAGAGTAAGAAAATAGACTCGGGTAATTCACTTGGAGGGGAGGGAGAATGAAGATTTAACAGTTACTGTAAGTCAGGCACGGCGGACTCACTCTTATAATCCTAGCACCCTTAGCTGGCAGAGGTAGGCAGATAAGTTCAAGCACAACCTAGTCAACTTAATGACTTTGTGTAACTCTGAATAAAATTAAAATATAAATAAAGGATTAGGTTAGCCAGGTGTGCCAGCACATACCTATAACTCCAGCACTGAGGAAGGCTGAGGCAGGAAGATCATAAGTTTGAGTATTACCTGTGCAAATTAATGAAATCTTGTCTGAAATAAAAAGTTCTGAGAATGGAACTCAGTGTGCACCCGAGTTACTCCCCCATTTCACCACAAAAAATGATAAATAAAAATACACTTGAGAGGGTAAGGCAGAGGGATCATAAGTTGAGGCCAGCCTGGACCACAGAGTAAGGCATTATCTCAACATAAAATTGAAGGATTGGGGATGGATGTAGCTTAGTGGCAATGTTTGCCAACCATACATGAGGCCCTGGGGTCAATCCCCAGTACTGGAAAAAAGAAAAAAAGTTTACAAAATCATCCTTAGCTCTCTTCCCATTTGATACCAACTCAGGTTATAGGAACTACTATTCTGTTTCTAAATGACAATTTACAGCCGGGCATGGTGGCACACATCTATAAGTCTGTACTCCCAGCACTCGGGAGGCTGAGGCAGGAGGATCATTGCGAGTTGTAGGCCAGCCCAGGCTACAAAGTGAGCTCAAGGCCAGCCATATCAGTTCAGCCAGTTCTTCAATATATTTACTCTCCTGTTCTCTTCTCCACTTTTCACCACTGCAGGTAAGACTAAGAGGGAAGAAAAGCCATGATATACCTATCACAAAAAAGTTGTGAGCAAGCCAGCCAAGGTGTCCAGGCTAGTATTCCCAGCACTTGGGACACAAGTCCCAAACCAGTGAGGCATAGTGAGGCCCTGTCTCAAAAAGGGGGGGAAAAAAATAATAATAGGATTTACAAAAGAATTTTAGAAGTAGTAAGAACAAACTGAAACAAAAACAAATTGATAAGTAAACTTCATGAAGTGCTCAGGTTAACACAATCTATTGACAGCAACTACAAAACAACTTCGATTTTAATTCCACAAGAATACAGAACAAGAGGCTGGGGATTGAGCTCAGCAGCACAGTGCCTGCCTGGCAAGCGTGAGGTTGTGAGTTTGATTCCCGGTATGGGGTGAGGGGGTGGGGGTGTGGATACAGAACAAAAAGGAAAGAAAAGAATACAGAACAAATGTCTAGGGGTGTAAATCAGTGCTAAAGTGCTTGCCTAGCATGCAGAAGGGTCTGAGTTTGACTGCCAGCACCACAAAAAATTAGCAGAGCATAGCAGAGCTTGCATAGCATGTAAGAAATACCAGGTTCAATCCCCCTGAGCTGCCCCCACCCCGCCAAAAAATAAAAAGCAAAAAACCTGCAGTGTGCCCATATGTTCATATAAAAATGCACAAAAAAAGGTGACAGCTAAAATAAGCCCAAGTATTACCTCTGTGAAATGCTGGGTTACCTTTCCTCTCCTTCTCTAGTTTTTTGTCTACGTGTCATGTGTGCTTTTTCAATTTGCATCGATATTTTTATTAGGGGGCATGGCCTCCTGAGTTATATATATTGTAAACATAAGAACACTTACTGTTGTATTCAGAATAAATGCTGAGTTCTAGCCTATAGAAAGGTCTTTTTGGTAGCTGTTCTCATTTCTAACCAAGAGTTTCTTACTATTTTATCACTTTAGACCAATAACCAAAGTACAACACACTATTTTTTTTGAAGAGAAAAGAAAAACAAGTTCACAAACACAAAGACATAAACAAAACAACAGTAAAAATAATACAGCATTTCAGAGCAGGGTATGGTGACTCATGCCTATAAATCCCAGCATGGGGAGGCTGAGGCATGAGGATAGTTGCAAGTTTCAGGCCAGCCTGTACTACAAAGTGAGCCTGAACTGCATAGGGAGACCCTGTCTCAAAAAGACCAAAAACAGACTTTCAGACAAGGTGACAGAAAATTAACAATGGTTGTTGTATTACATATTGTTATCTTCAAATCCGTTACTCAGATAAACAAATATAGGTACAACACACTTTGGACAGTTACAATCTTTTCGTTTACCTGAAGTAAAAGTGGTCCTAAAGAGTCTTTTTCAATAACCCCCTGTCCTGTAGAAGATACATCAGCTTTCTGAACATCATCATCATTGGAAACCGCTTTTCCTGGGAGGGATCAAAGACAATACTATGAATGGCACATTTATCAGTTGTAAATAAAATCTACCTTCAAAGAGTTCAGACACAGACACATACAGGCACAAAGACACACACACCCTGATAAGAGGATGATACCACAACTTTAAAATACTAAACTTTGTAACTGCCAGCAAAAGTAAAAAATACCCTAAATTCCCTTAGTGGTACTAACCCATGGCTTCCAAAAGGGAAGCTAACATTTGACAGATGAACCAACACTGGCTTTCTTCCAATTGTTTTGTTCACTGTTTCTTCACAGACCAAAACTGATCAACTCACTTAGCCAATCCTATACTCTCTAGCCTCACTCATCTATAGTTCCTACCTAAACAAGGTAGCCTGAAAGGCAAACATAGGGTGAGGATGTGGCTCAGTGGTATAGTACTTGCTTAGCATATGGAGGCTCTGGGTTTGATCCACAGCACAGGAAAAGGGAGGAAGAAAGGAGAAGGAGAATGGCAAAGGTAAACACAGTAATAGGTTCCTTCCAAAAGACTTTTTCTACTTTATATTACCTTGCTCTTTTATTTGCCGTATCTGTCGTACTGTTTCCTTTAAAATTGCACATTTATCTGGTTTGACGTTGAAATTGTCAATATCACTAAGATTTGCAGATATCAGTTCAGCCAGTTCTTCAATATATTTACTCTCCTGTTCTCTTCTCCACTTTTCACCACTGCAGGTAAGACTAAGAGGGAAGAAAAGCCATGATATACCTATCACAAAAAAGTTGTGAGCAAGCCAGCCAAGGTGTCCAGGCTAGTATTCCCAGCACTTGGGACACAAGTCCCAAACCAGCCTGGGCTCCATAGTGAACTCAAGGAAAGTCTTATCTCAAAAAAGAGCTCTAAGCAGAACTGGCCTCTAAAAACACAATTACTTTCATGTGTGAACCAACTTAACCAATGAAATTACCTAAACATTATAATGAAGAAGTAATACACTGTAAAAGAAATTCATGCAAATTGAAACTCAATTCCATTTCTTTACTAGCCGAGGCCCTAGGAAGGGTTGGTTAGCCTCAGTTCCTTCATCTGGAAAAGAAGGAATAATCTTTACCTTGCAAGGTAAACAAGTAACAAAAACAGGTTTACTATTGATGATACAGTTTAATAAAATATGGTATGTTCTCTACTTTTAAAGTATCACAATAAAACTCAATGGCAATGACCTTAGCAAATACTTTAAAAGCTACCGAATATCACTGCACAGATTATGGGACTTTATTTCTGATTTCACACTTCCAGTATCATTCAGGGAAAAAAAATGAAGAAAGGTCACAAATGCCCAAACATGAATTTATATTATTAGAGAATATCATGGATTATTTGTAACAACAGTGATTAGTTATTCCTAAATTCTACACTTTCTAGTCAAAAAACTCTTGAAGTATCAGACTATTAAAAACCCTTTAACTGAATCAGCAATAATAAAGCTTCTTTTACAACTGTAAGGATATGCATCTCATGAGCAACACTGTAAAGTGGTATCTCAATTCATGAAAACTTTTGTTTGCAAATAAGCTGCTTCACAAAAAAGCAGCATTTGGGAACACGTTAGTTTTGTTTGTGAACACTGCACCAGGTGATGAAAACAATTGTAGACATCTTTTCCACAACAGTTGGGCGAATTAGTTTATGAACAGAGGTACCACTGTACTTAGTTCAAATCAAAATCACACTATTTAAGTAATAAAAAAAAAAGGTTTTTTTTAATCTAATCTTGGGACACATGTAAGCTCAGGTACTGGGGAGGCTGAGGCTGGAGTATGACAAATTCAAAGCAAGCCTGGGAAACTGATTGAGATCCTGTCCTTTTTTTTTTTTTTCCCCAAAAAAAAAAGTCTAAATGATGCTCACTGGAGGAACATTTGCCTAGCATGTTCAAGGTCCTAACTGCCATTCTCAGTATTGCTTTTATAAAAAAAAAAAAAAAAAAAAATTAAGGCTTAACAAGATAACAACATGAAGAACAGCAAGCTGAAACATTAACCAAAAAAAAAGATGAGCGGGAGGAGCTCCAATGAAGCATCCCAAGGTAAATCACCTACCCCTGTCCCGGAATATCACATGGCAATTTGCGTTTTCGTGAATCAGTAGCCAGTGGATCCAAAGAGTTTTCTCCTAATCCACTCATCTTGAATATACATCAGCAACTAAGGAAAAAAAAAAAAAAAAGAAAATATTATAAAGTATGCACATCTCTGTGAAGGTGCTGTATGACAGAATGACTGCACTCTATAATTCAGAAATATTTTCTCAAGCCAAGCGTGGTGAGGGCATGGCTGTAATTCCAGCACTCTCAGAAGCTGAGGTAAGAGTTCAAGGTCAGCCTGAACTGCATAATGAAACGGTGTCTCAAAAAGAACCACCTCCAAAAAATACTTTCTCAATAGTCTCTATCATAAATTAGCACACAGAAAACCTCAGAGTCCAAGTTCTACTTTACCATAGTGCCCAACCTCAATACAGAAATGTTTCTTACTAGAAAACTATACATATTGAATCTCACAAAGAATAAGGCAAGCTCTCCATCATACTTAACAAACAAAGATTCCAATACTGACGATTTTCGGAATTTTATTTACATCTAAGGAAACCAGGGGAAAAAAATGTATCCTGTAACTTGGTAAGAAGTCTTCAAATGATAAATGTAAATTATTCGGGCTATTTTTATAGGTAGCCCTTTTCTATCAAATGTGTTTTCTTCTGTTACACAAAAAAAACCTAGATTGTATAGGTTGAAAGTGGAGAGATTGACACTGAGCCACAGAAAAACAACTACTTTAATGTAAACTGATGGTAAAGCAATATGCTGGGGTTAAAGTCTCAATAATGAAGAAAATACAAGGTATTTCTTGTTCAGGAAAAGCAGCAACTTAATATTTAGCTATCTACTAGGCCTTAATTTAATTACATGTGTTCTAAATTGTTGATAGAACAGGACAATCATCGTTCTAAAGAATGCCATGACAACCAACAAAGTTCAAACATTCTACTCTGTATTTCTAATGTTTAAATGCACAAGGTATTCTAGCTAGTCTAAAAATGTACCCTGAAGGACACCCATTTCCACTAGATGGCATAACAATACCACCGGGGAGGACAATGAAAATGCAAAACGTGCAAGATGCTGATCAAACTTAAAACAAAATCATATGACTAATCAGGAATTCCGGGTTAGTGCATCATCATTACTGATAAAACAGGTATAAATTAAACACAAACAAAGTTTAATTTTGGTAGTAAAAAGTAAAGGCTAACAACTGTTTCAGAGATTTGCTGGGGTTTTTACTCCCAGCTCAGTATTTTGAGGTTAAAGCATAACCATGACACATGACCTCAGGAGTACTGTATTTTCAAAATGTCTAAGTCAAAATAAAATGTATTCCAGCTGAGGCAAGAAGATCTCTGAATTTCAGGCCAGCATGGGCCTGAGTGAGTGCAAGTACAAAGTGAGTTCAAAACCAGCCTGAAAACTGCATAGCGAAACTCTGTCTCAAAAAAAAAGAAAAAGAGAAAGAAAAAGGAGGAAAAAAAAAAAAAACCCACAAATAAAACGCAACTCTCATAAATAATAAAGTATGTAAAAACTGTCCTGATTAAAGGAAGCTAAAAAGAAATGACAAATAAATACTGTATTTTCAGGCTGGGCCTGATGGCACACACCTGTATTGGGAGACTGAAGCAGAAGGACTGCTCCAAGTTTGAGGCCAGCCTAGACACTACATAGTAAGTTCAAGGACAACCTGAACTACATACCAAGAGCCTGTGTCAAAACACAAATGCAAAACCACAGTATTTGCTCCTAGATTCATCTTATACTACAGGGAAAAAAATGTTGTAAGGACATTACCCAATCAACTCACAAAACTGCAATATGGACAATAGATAAAAATGTTGAGACAGTCTTGCTTCATGGTACAGAATGGCCTTGGCCTTTAACTATGTAAGCCAGGCTAGCTGGAACTCAGTGATCCTCCTGAGCGCTGGGATTACACAGACATGTGCCACCATTCTCAGCTTGATGGAAATGTTTTGTATCCAAGTTAAATTCACTGAAATTGCTGGGTGACACACCCACACCTATAATCCTACCAGTTGGGACGCTGAGGCATGAGGATCACTAGGAGTTCAAGGCCAGCCTAAACTACTTTGTGAGATCTTGTCTCAAAATAGCAAAATTAATTAATTCGTTAATTCACTAAAAATGTATGAACTGGTTATTTTAAAAGACTATCAACAAACAAAGCAAACGAAAAAACTATTAAGGGCTGGGGATATAGCTCAGTGGCACAGTGCCTGCCTGGCAAGCACCAAGTCTTGAGTTCAATTTCCAGTACCAAACAAAGCAACACAACCCCCTCCCCCCAAAAAAGGAAAAGACTATCAATATTCTCAGCATTTGGGGCTAAGGAGTCATTATTATGCAAATGGAACTCAAAAGTCTGGAAATACAGTATTATAAGACTAAACCAGGCAGTGGAAAAGAGGGATCAGAAGGGAGGTGAAAGGCTGAGGAGAGATTAGAGTAAGATAACGGCATTTGGCAGGATCATGGTGAAGGGAAAAAATTTAAAGATCCTTTGTCCTATTCTTTTTCTTTCAACAGTGCTTTAAATTTAACTTGTTTCCAAATAAAGATTTAAAAGTATGTTCAGCTTTTATGTTTCAGTTTTCATATTTAAAAAATAGTGATCCCTTAAGTACAAAAGTAATTTTGTAACTACATACTTATTGGTCCCTTCATTGGGCTCATTCAAAGGACATTTTTAGTAGCTGGCTTATAATCCCAGCTACTCAAGAGGCTGAGGCAGGCATACCACAAATTCAAGACCAGCCTGGGCAACTGAGCACGACCCTGTCTCCAAATATTTTAAAAGAGCCAGGGATGTAGTTCAGTGGTAGCATGCTTGCCTCGTATGTACAAGGACTTTCTAGGTTCAATCCCTAGCATGAAGTAAGGAAATTTAAGTGGTAAACTAAACACTGAATGATTACATCTCTTTATTTGAAAGATAAAATTAAAAAAAAAAATTTACGGCACATTACAGATATTATTTTCTTCTTCTGGTATGAAGCATAAGCTGAATCTCTAAAAGTTTTAAAGCCATTCAGTGAGTAATAACATTTATTTTAATTGAAGGAATAATTTAATCTCTTCTCAATAGTATAACCTTACTTTGCTATGAAATGTAAGCTGAATTTCTGCTATAGTACAAGGTGCCTTACACATGAAGGTGATCAATAAATGTCTTGAATAAATGTTAATAAAATATTTTAACATTTCCTTCACTCTGATCTTTTCACTCTGCAATTGTATTGCTTTAAACTCTAAATTTTTACTTCTAAAGTTGGTATCGAATGTTACTATAATGAATATTGTCAGCATAAATTATTATCAATAGAGAATCAGCACCAAAAAATCTATTAGGAAGAGAAAAATAACCACAATTATTAGTTTAACTGGAAATGTATACAAGCCAGCCTGTATGAAGTCAATGTTTCTGTGCATACAGACAAATCTGAGTATGTCCATGTCCACAGACATGTGCTTGTGTTTCTTGGGCTTGATGAACAAAGCTACAATGCAAGGTACACATAAACCTGTGCAAGTCTGTGCTACAACCTTAACTCTTTCACAGAATTTGACAATCACCAGTAACACAATTATCTAGAGAAATTTACTGATGCAATCTGGGTGTGGTGGCCCACACCTCTAATCTCAGCATTTGGAGGACTGAGGAAGGGAAGATTACCATTGAGTTCAAGGTCATCTTGCACTACATACTGAGGACCTATCTAAAAAACTAAATAAAAAAGAAGAATTAAAAAACACACTTCAAAGTAACGCAAATACATCCCCTTAGTTTAATAAAGAAAATGTTCAAGTATTTCTGTCCACCAATAATTTAAATATATACAATAGCTAATGTAATTCCCGAAGGCAATGACTGATAAATACTTTACTTACAATTTTGTTTGGTATTAACCTTAGTTATAAACATAAAAAACTATAAATAATGTTTGTTTTACCTTGCTTGTCCATGCATCAATGAGAGGATACATTATCTAGTTTGGTAGACAACTATTTCCAAACTATAAAAGATAAGGCACACGCAGTCCCGTCATTCAGGAGCTACAGTGAAGCATGCACAGCCGCCCAGGGTGCCTGGCCTGGCGATGGTAGACAGCCCAGTGCTCCCGGCCTTCCTGCTGTGCAGCATGCTGCCGCTCATCAAGACATACATGGTGGCCGTCATCACGGGCCAAGTCAGGCTGTGGAACAAGGCTTTCACCAACCCTGAAGACACCCTGAGGCTCGGTGGCCCTCAGTTCTATCAGAGTGACCCAGACGTGGAGCCATGTCTCAGAGCCCACCGGAACAACACGGAGACCATCTACCCATTCCTCTTCCTGAGCCTCGTCTACTGCTTCCTGCTGGTCCTCCAGGGCTGCCTGATGCACTCCGTGGCCTACCTGGGAAAGCTCTGTGTGTGCCCCTGCGCTCCCTGGCCTACATCGTGGCCCAGCTGCCCTGTGCCTCCATGGCCCTGCAGATCCTGTGGGAAGCGGCCCACCACCTGTGTGACTCAAAGCCACGAGATTGCAAGCCAGGGCGGACAGCCCTGCTTCCCTGGCACGCTCTGGGCCTAGTGGAGTGAGAGAGAAAGACAGAGAGAGACAGAGAGAGACAGAGACACAGAGAGAGACAGAGACAGACAGAGACACAGAGAGAGACAGAGACAGACAGAGACAGACAGACAGAGAGACAGAGACAGAGGGAGGGACTGTGTGTGTGTGTGTGTGTGTGTGTGTGTGTGTATGCATGCGCACGCACTCTTCTTGAATTCCTGGATGAAGTGATCCATTGTCAAGATGGACAGAAAATGAAATCCCAGCCCTGAAAAAGCTGAGACAGAAGGAAAAACCATGAGTTTGAGCCCAAACTGGGCTACATACTGAGACAGTGAGCTGACGACCAGGCTGGGCTATACAGCAAGACCATGTTAAAACAAAACAAAACAAAGCAAAGCAAAACCAAAAGGATAAAACCTCAACTGAAAAAATAAATAAATAAATAAATAAATAAAAGTCTGTTATATATACACTAAAATCTACATCATTTTCAGTCAGTAGTCAAAAATGAGAAGGGGAAATGTGCTAAGCATCAGTCCCATGAGTATAAATGTATGGCAGAAGAATCTCCCAGGCACTTTGATTATAAGAATACCTTATTAATACTCAGTCCTTTGTAAATTCTGACCTCCCATAATTGAAAATTATCACCTACACCACTGAATGGAAAAGAAGTTAGGACTACTTTATATATTTGTGTCCCCCTCCTTCCAGTAACCTGTGCTCATGATGTCAAGTCATGAACCTAACGGTATCTCATAGTACATTATTTTTAAGTTTCCAATGAAGAGGTGTCCCTCAATTCATGTTAAAATGGAAGTGCACCTCCAAGGAGATCACAGATGGCTTTTCAAGCCCTATACTGTACAGTAGAGAAAATACTAAAGTGAAGAACTTCCACTGGATCAGAATCAAAGCCTCAAAACAAATTCAACCTTTCCATGTGAACTCCAGATTCTTAAGGCACTTTTACAATTACCTTCCCCTTCTGAAATGTTCCTATTAGAAGAGTTCTGTACCTTACTACTTAAGAGCATCAATATTATAATGCACTTTAAGATTACACTTAAGCAACACATTCTATACAATTACCTCAATTATACAATAGAAATTTAAGCAACCTTCCAACGGTACCAAAATATGATACTATTTCTGTATTACTCAAAGATACAGAGGTCTTCTCTCGTTTTGAAGCAAGATCTCACCATGTAGTTCAGGTTGGCCTTTAACTCACTATGTAGCTCAGGCTGGCCTGGAAATCACACGGATCCTCGTAACTCAGTTTCCTAGAACGCTGGGATTATATAGGTGTATACCACCACACCCACTTTAATCCATGGTAAATTTAAAATAAAATTTAAAGAAAGTAGGTAGAATGTTTCATTAGGCCTTCTATACATACCAAGTTATACAACATGCTGCAGCTTATGACTTCAATGAATGAACTACTAGAAAATGAACATTAATGGAGTAACACAAAGAGAAACTAAGAAGCAACAAAGATTTACATTTGTTGGCTCAAAAGACATTAAATTTTGGAATATGATTTAGCAGCGTCAACCACCTTTTCTTTTGGCTATCTACAATAGGTTATCTTAGGTCTGTGGTGATGGGTGATGGTACATGCCAAGTTCAAGGCCAGCCGGACACATAGTGACTTCAAGGCCAGTCTAACCTAAACAGTGAGACCCTGTCTCAACTGAAAAAAGAAATGAGGGGAAAAGCTTGATTATATGTGGCAAATTGGGCAGATGGACACAAATACAGTAAACACTCCTGACCACAAGGAAAAGATATTAAACAAAAAAAAGTGTTCAGTTTAAGCAAGAAGTTATTTTGAGGACCTTAGAAAAGTCATGCTGTGCCAAAATGGGAAGAAATGGTTTAACCAAGTAAATCTAACTTGGCAAAGAGACTATTTTACTTTTCCTAAATTAGTGGGGGAAGACAGCTTTGGTTAGGCATCTCATGTACTAGATGATTGCTCACAATAATCAATCCTCTAAGGCATATCACTATTATCACTCCCATTTACAGACAGGAAAACAGCTTCCCAACTACATCACACACACAATGGATGGCAGAGCTGGGACTATAATATTTTCTTAGCCTTCGTAACATTTGAGATATATATTGTGGGGAGGGGACAGGCTCTCACTATGTAGTCCAGCTAGACTTGAACTTGCTTCTGTACCCCAGGATCGCCTCAAACTCACAAGGATCCTCCTCCCTCACTCAGCCTCCCAAGAGCTAGGAGTACAGGAATATCTCACCACGCCCAGCACTGATGAGGTATTCATATCAAATGTGTCTTGGGCACTTTATTCCCTACCAAAATAAGTTGTTTATAACAATGAGTCACAGTATATTTACCAGTTAAATTTTCCAGGTCATCAATAAGCACAATAAAAAGCTGTAACACCCACAGCTGAGGGTCACACAGTATTAAGGTCACAAGCAAGGAGTTGCTCAAGTTCAGCAGGTACTAACCCCTAACCTAACCATCACAGTGCTTTCTAAGTCATAGACTAAACTGCATTCTCTGGTGCTCTAACATTACTCACAACCTTTATTTTCAATTGAGATGAATAGTTAATGGCTCACATAGGAAGAAAATCTCCCCCTCTCCCACCACACACACGGAAACTGTGATGAGAAACACAAATCCATACCCGAAAGTGGCCTGTCAAGTATTTTTTTTGTTGAGTTTTCTAAGATTAAAATGTTGGAGCCAAGAAGTTTGACTATACCAGCAGTAACCTGAGTTTGTCAAGCTTGTCTGCCTGACTTTTGTAAGGTATGATTAAGTATGCTAATTAGGGAAGGGTTTCTGGGTACCTCTGGAGAATTACATTAACTTAAAAATTTTACAACAGCTGTGGGTTGGAATGAATTTATTGAAAACTGCTTTAAGCACTATGCAAAAGCTCAGATTGCTCAAGGCCAGTTAAGAGAAAATTTTTAAAAGATAAATAAAGCTCCTAAGAAGAATTTGAGATATCCTTACACAGAAAGGTTCTATGTAATTCTGGCAATCAAGAAGCTGAGAGAGGGGGGTGAGAATTTAGCTCAGCGGCACAGCCCCTGCCTGGCAAGCACAAGGTCTTGAGTTTGATTCCCGGCACCGGAACACCAGCCCCCCGACCGCCGCAAAAAAAAAGAAGCTAAGGGAGGAGGATCACTATGAGTTCATGGACAGCCTAGACTACACAATAAGCTCAGGGGCAGCCTGAAGTATATGGCAAGACCTTGTCTATTTAAAAAAACAAAAAAAGCTCTACCCAAAATTCAAGATCCAAATTAATAGCCCTATTCAAATAATTTAATATAGTCACCAGTTAATTTAAGAGTTTAATTCCATAATTATTTTTTCAAAATCACATTAAATGGTGTTGTTTTTTTTTTGTTTTGTTTTTGTTTTGTTTTTTTTTTGGAACAATCTGTGGTCCACACTCTTACTAATGTAAAAGTAGGGCTCTAAGAGATCTAGCATCCTGGGAGAACTGAAGAGAAATAACCTGTGCATGCCAGGGTCAAAGGGGGACAGAATGCACCTAAGCCCATAAACCAGGAGCCACTATGATGTGTCCTCAAGTAGATGACTCTCCAACCCCATAGGAGAAAGGAAAAGTTAGGAAAATGAGAAAAAAGCTTTAGATAAAAACAAGGCGCCAAGGGTTGGGGATTTAGCTCAGCTGCAAAGTGCCTGCCTGGCAAGGGCAAGGTCGTGAGTTCGATTCCTGGTACCGGAAGAAAAGGAAAAAAAAAAAAAAAAAACAAGCTGCCTATATCCTTTTGTTTTATTGCTGCTAACCTACACATGTTTGGTGAAATCAAACATTAAACCATCTAATGAAATCTATTTTTCAATTTCATTCTATCTCCACTCAAATGCTTGCATGTCCAGAAACATTTTAGATCCAGGAAGGAAGATAAATGACACCATGAACTGCTGGAGCTCTCAAGCTAGCAGCAGAGGAAACCACTGCAATTTTGGCAAGTGATAAAATGAAGACACTACAGGAACACAGTCAACTAAAAACACCTACCAGTCTACATTTACACACACACACACACACACACACACACACACAATCTTTAAAAATTTAAAAAAAAAAATCTCATTGGAAAAAATATTCAAGAAAATGTAACAACCTTTCAGCCCTGATATTCTCTTCTTCATTTTCATAATGCCATCAAGTTGGGAAAGGGGCTAGGAAGAAGCAGTAAGGTTAAAACACATACAGCAATTGAATGCAAACTATTTACTCAGCAAGTAGCACTCTCGTTCCTCTCTTATTATCCCCTTCCTTTTCTTCTTAACCCACAGGTTGACTCCTAGGTTATTCACATTTTTGCTCTGGTTTAAACGTGATGGAAGTTGAACCCAAACGCCAATTCCCTAGAGTCTCTCACAAGAGGCCTGGGCATATCAATGAGCCCCTCCAGGTGTTAGATGCAACTAGAAGCTTGCTGCCAAGAGACTTCTCAACCTCTACATTAGCCACAGCACTGATGTTCAGAGACACTGTGCAGAGGAGGGAGTTAACAAGCCAATCCCATCTACTTCGAATTACCTTCTCTGGATAGCATACTAACTAGCAGTAAACTCTTATTTTAAAGGTTATGCTGACTCCCACAGTTTAATGCAATGAATCTATTTCCCATACAAACTTAAATCTCAGCTTCATAAATGTGAATTCAACTTCACTTTCCAAATTTTGTCAGTATACTTCCTCCCCATCACCACCGCTATAATCAGTAGTCACACAGGGCTATGCTAACAGTTTTTAAGGATAATCACTCAAATACTTCCTATTTTGTCTTAGCGTTCTTAGATCTCTACATTCCTTTACAATCTAGAGTATCCCTACTCTTCAAAATCAAGTTCAACTATCATTTGTGGAGAAAGCATACCCCAGTCTCCTAACCCAAGAAATTTTCCCTTTATTCCTTTTTTTTTTTTTTTTGGTTTTTTCCAGTACCGGGAATGGAACTCACAAGCTTGCGCTTGCCAGGCAGGCGC